TCGCGGGGGGGCTGGAGCCTATCCCAGCCGACTTAGGGTGAAGGCAGGGAACACCCTGGACAGGTCACCAGTCTATCACACTTAGAGACAGACAACCAAGCACACTCACATTCACACCTACGGACAATTTAGAATCACCAATTAACCTCAACATGTTTTTGGACTGTGTGGGAGGAAGCCGGAGAACCCGGAGAGAACCCACGCTGCACGGGGAGAACATGCAAACTCCACGCAGAAAGATTCCGGTGCTCTCACCGGGACGCAAACCGGCAACCTTCTTGCTGCGAGGCAACAGTGCTACCAACTGCGCCACCTTGCAGCCCGCCACGATCCACCGTGCAGCCCAATTTAGACCTTTTTGTATGAAAGGTTTTCTAATAATAGCAGTAATGTATGTGTGAAACGTCTTAGGTCCTTTAATTATTTAACGTTTTCATAATATTTGTAGATATATTGTCCAGAGTGACGATGCACTGACTTCTTTAGGATCACAGTTTTGAATGATAGTCAGATGACCCCCCCAAGGATGTGATGCTTTAGGTAGTGTAGGGTTTGTAGTGGTGTGGAAAATAGGGTATACTTATTTCCACACCAAAGCAAGTGATTGCATTCATTAAAATTATTCAAACCAACCTTTGAATTATTCGTCCAGCGATATAATCTCAGAGTCAGCACAACAATTCTAATAAATTGTTTACTCTTGGTGATCAGTCAAGAGTGTTTTATAAAGTTAAGGGAATTAACTTAGAGCTTAGGTAACTAAAGATCACATACGTAAAGCGACTGGATGTAAACTATAGAAAACACAGGAAACAACTGTATACACACACACAACATTTATTACTAACTAAACAAACAAACAAATAACAACAACAAACATAAAATATAAAATACAAATAATGATGAAAATGCTGGTTGAGAATATGAGTGTGAAAACCGAATGTGGAACAGAGTGATGGCTTGGAGACTTAAAAGTCTTTTCACCTGAAGCAGCAGATAATCTGTTAAATTTGGAATATTGGTCGGAAGGCCAATTGTAATCATAAAACACCCGTTTAGAGACAGAAACTTGATACTTGCAGTTTCCTTGGCAGATGCAGCAGTGAATGGAGTTGGGAGACGAGGCCTTCAGCTTGAGTTGGATCAGGGTGTGGCAGTTGAAGTTGCTACATTGGACAAAAGTGAGCAGCTCTACGGCAGTTAGAGAATGCCACTAGAGAATGCCACTGCTTTTTGGGTGAAGAGGCTTTTTAATAGTAAAACTACTGACCAATCACAGCGAGCTCCGCTCCCAGAGGGACTGTTAGATGTGACATCCCAGTATCACCGGGAGGTCATGAGGTGGTCATGAGTTTTGCTCTGAAAGTAACAATGTTCCTTCAGAACTATATGTATTTGTACTGATACAAAGCTAAGCTTGTTGGAAATGAATGTGTCACGTGGAGAGCTTCAAGGGGAGTGTAAATATGACTTAGCTATCTTGTACGATTACAGAAATAACACAATGCTTAGGATATGGTAATATAACAAGCTGATAAACTAAAGAAGGACTTTCAACTGTAATTAAGCTTTGGAGTATTTATCAGGACATGATATATCATAACATTTAACAATTAAACTTAACACAAGATAATAAGGCACATCCTCTGGTACTGTGTCTTATTGTTCATCCATGAGTTCAGTTGTTAAGTTCGGTTGTTGCATGTCACAGGAAATGAGGGGTCAGCAGAGCAATACGTTAAGCTCAGGGCACTTCATTGCACCTGGCCATCTGTTAAGGTCTGCGTGGTTGAATGTTTTTCTTTGTCTTCCCCCAAAAGCTTCTTTGTGTTACGATGTTTTGCAGCTCTGATAGGTGTGATAAGGGAATTCCTAAGGGAGCTCTGCTTCCTCACTCCTCCGAGTCTGCAGAGCTGATTTACATGGCCCTGTGACCTGCAGGACAGTTCTATCTTTTTTATGGCATGTGACTTGGGTGCTGGAAAGTTCAAATGAAGTTTTTTGAATCCTTTTGGGCATCTGTGTCTGTCCATATCCCACAGTAGTCAAGTTGAAGAAGCAAAAAAGGAACTTTAAAAACATAAAACTGATTGTAGACACAAAAACTGAGGGAGCAGGCTGAAGGAAATCCAAAATAAACAAAAGGGAGAAACACAAAAACTACACTAGAATGAACGGGCATGGCATAAGGAGCACAGGCAGGAATACTGGCAAGGATCACAGGCAGCAAGCGCAGAGGATGAACACAGGGAACACAGGCAAACTGAGAACCAAAGCAGGGAGAGGCAGAACTACATTGAGAACTAATTGGGGAACAAGATGCAGGTGAAACCAATGAGGGTGGAGCAGACAATCAAACAGGCGGGAAAGACACACAAAGCGAGGAGTCAAAAAAAACACCAGAGACAAACAGGGCGAGTAACTTCAAAATTAAACAGAAAGTACCTAAAAAGGGAGCCAGAAGGCACAAATAGACAAACAGATCAAAACACAGAAAAAGAAGCAGAGGAGGATGGAGACAAAACAGAAACAGGAAGCAAAACAACAACAAATACCCCAAACCATGACAGAGGGGCAGGTTTAATGATTAACAACATATATTATAATAGAGACATACTTATAAAGGTGTAGAATTAATTTATCTATAAAATACGAGACCTGGGCTATGAAGCAAGATTTAGCGTTAGCAAGTTAACTTCACGGGCTGCAAGGTGGTGAGCAGCCAGAAGGTCGCTGGTTTGCATCCTTGTGAGGACACCTGGGATCTTTCTGCGTGGAGTTTGCATGTTCTCCCCATGCAGTGTGGGTTCTCTCCGGGTTCTCCGGCTTCCTCCCACACAGTCCAAAAACATGTTGAGGTTAATTGGTGATTCTAAATTGTCCGTAGGAGTGAATGTGAGTGTGCTTGGTTGTCTGTCTCTAAGTGTGGCCCTGTGATAGACTGGTGACCTGTCCAGGGTGTCCCCTGCCTTTGCCCTAAGTCAGCTGGGATAGACTCCAGCCACCCCACGACCCTAGTGAGGATTAAGCGGTGTATAGATACTGGATGGATGGAAGTTAACTTCAGGTTTAACCCTGGATTTACAGGACTATGTAAGTGGTTAACTTCTTATTGGGGTAAATCTCCATGGTATCTTATGCTGAACACCTAAACTGCCCCAGAGCAGGCTAACTTCAAGAAAACACATCAGTGTGAATAAAAACACCAACCACTGATCCATCAGGTATCTTGGAAAATAGAATAACGATTTGTAGACGATCTGGTCGAACAATGCATAAATAGTAAGAAGGTCTCTTTGGAAGGAAAGAGTTTTTAGATCTTCAAGAGATTTCAGAGCCATTTAATTGTTCTATTGAAAGAATACGAAGCTAAAACTTTTTATATGAAAATACATATTAGCAACACATGAATTTATGGAATACATGATTGCTGCTGTAGTTACGTCTGCTCGTGTCTTAATGATACATTTTGACATTGGTTTGGGATTATATTTTGTTTAACTTGTAAGAAATAAGCGGTTTTAGACCCGTCCATCCTTGTGATTGGTCAGGGTGATTTACAAGAAAAAGAAAAAACAAAACATTAAGTGCTAAACTTTCTGCATAAACTGTATGTAAATGCGTTAATTTGCAAAGAATAGGCCTCGACTTAAACATATGGGGTGGATGATTAAAATAAACTTGGCTACCGCTGATTGAGCCATTTCACAGCACATCATAAGTTACTAATAAACTGGCAATTTTAAATAAAGAAGAGATGCCTAAAATGCCTTTATAAATCTTTTTTTGTCAGACTTCCATGCGAACCCGCTCATGGCCGGATTTGAAAACCTAGTTTGACTTACAAAGTCCAGTGTTATATGACACATTAGAGCTGATGTGGATCGAAATGTTGCCTGTTAGAATTAAAATTTGGACAATTATACTGCTTCCTTGAAAAATCTTATGTCCTCTTAAAATATATTTGCTAATGAAAATTGGACTTTTTGATCATAATTAGCAATTTTTTACACATTTTTCTACTCAGATGTCGATTGATCTGTTACTTACGTCAACACTCCAACTGGGATTATTAGTTTTTTGACTCTTCAAAGTTGCATAAAACTCATCTTCATGCACAGAGTACATGTTGTGGTAATAGTCTGTATTTGATTATTGTGTAATTTGCTTCTGCTTGGACAAATATATTGTGTTCTTCAAGGACAACGGGCAAAAGAAGCATTCAAAACTGTCTGTGTGCCCGCAGAACACAAAAGAAAATACCTTTGCAATAAAAAAACTGAGGACGACGCGGTGAAAATGTCATTAAAGAAACCAACCTCAGTCATTCTTTAATCTCCGATACAGAACGTCGCCTTCCCCAAAGCCTTTTTTATCTGCAGTGCCAGGATGAGCTTTAAATCTTTCCCATCATGGACTGTAAAGTCTGCAATTTAAAGCGAGGCAGGGCAAGACTGACCTGGGAGCAGCTGAAGAAAGTTCACAGTTGGGCTTAATCACCTGATCATAAACCTTTGTGAGTGCCTGGAAGAAACTACCCCTCGGAGGCATATGTTGTATTAGCTGGATGGAGTTCACTGTTAGTTTGGCGTAAGTACACTGAGCAGCAAGCGTTTAGTACAGCTAGAAAACTTGTTTTCTCTCTGCAGACCCTGCATCCGGACTCTCTAACAGCTGAGGTTTGCCTCCTGGGCTGCTTTGCGACGACTTCGAGACGCAGCAGAATAATTGGAAAATCGGGAAACAAACTGTGACATGAAAACCCAAGGAGAGTGTAGCTGTTCCACAAGAGTATAAAATTAGTGTTCTGTGAGGTTTTGATGGTTTTGCATAACTTGTTTCTCTGCACAAGAACAAGGCCTGAATGAGGTAAGTAAAACTCCATATGTTACGTCTGTTACCGTCCAGAACTTTTAACTGAGCACAAAACAAATACCCCACATTCACACTTTTCTCTGACAAACAGGTGTGTTGCTTCTGTTCTTGCATGTGTACATTACCTGACAGTATGAAAAATATACCGGAAACGAAGGCGAGGATGGTGCGCTGTGGCCGTATGTGCCCAATGTTGCTGATAACGAAGGCGGTGAAAACGAAGAGCAGGGAGACCATGGGAAAGGGAGTGGCAGTTCGGACCATTTCTGTGGAAGGAGGATCAGTAAGAGAAGGTAAGGCGAGAGTAAAAACAAGCACAAATTTAAATGCGGCAAACACCGAAACCTTCAGAAAAATGTTCTAAGGGAATCCTAAATAATTTAAAATTTTACAGGCTTCCTACTCAAGTTATTCCTACTTTGTTGGTTCAAGGCGAAGCTGGTGAGTCATGAGACTCTTTACTTTTTTGAGTAACTTTCATTATTATTTGAAAGTTGCGCCGAAGGTTATTCTGTGTTCATGCTTTATTTGAATTATAATGCTGCTTGATTTAAAACTGTTTACCTTCATTGTTGATTAAAACCACTGTAGCCCTCATTATTTGCTAAGCCGCCCATGAAACACCCGTTTCAACTCTGTGTTGCAGCTTGCAATTAGAATTTTGCAACTTTGTGTTGCACTGATTAAAGTGCTGACTGCACTAAAAGATAGATGAAACCAAATCTGGGCGTTTTGAAGCTCAGTGTTGGTGGTTCTGGCTCTTAGCAGTGCCTGACTAAGTCCCGGCTAATCCAAAAAACTGACACAGAGACAGAGTGTGAGTAGAGGTGGGCCACTGATTGTCCAACAATGGCAGCCACGCCCTTAAATATGTGTTACGTTGAGCCACACTGATACGTTGTATAAAAATACACCCCTGTACAAATGTCATAAATGAGGGAACTAGCTATAGAGACCAAAACTGTTTGCAGTACCACCCAGCATACATGTTTACTTTTGCTGTGAGGTTGGGCATTTTAGCATGGTGATCTATGGGGAACGAATCTCTAGTGGAGCCTCTAGTGGCCATTTGAGGAACTGTAGCTTTGCACTTTCACATTGGCTTCATTTCTCAGTTTTGCTGCTTTAAACAAAGATCCTTTTAGTTCAACTGGTTTACTTTAACTTTTCTAAACTTCTTAAACTGTTGCTTCACAAAAACAATCAGACAAGGCAATACTTAAAAGTTTGGATTTCCACATTATACTGAATCAATGGACACTGATGCGTGCACATTGTGGTACTTAAATTTTTGCTCTATTTTACAAAACTGAAAAGTTTGTCTGCTTCATTGTCAGCTTCTAACATTACAATGCTTTGCTTATGGTCATATTAAAGCATTATTGTATATATTAGATACTGACAGTAAAAGTTAAGGTAGGGAAGAATTTTATTTTGTCTATCTCTGTCTGAAATGTTCAAACAGTACATTTTTGTGTACAAAAGCTGTCATAATTCTTACTTTAAATTGCATACAGGTATTTGTAAAGGCTTACAATTGCAGAAGCAGTAGAAGGGTCAGTTTTACACTTTGCTAATTGTTAAAATAAAACATTAAACCAATAAGAGTCGGATTCTGATGTCGAAAATCTTAAAATAACTGGAGCTGATATTTTAAAGTTGCTCTCTTGTTAGCTGTAAAAACGTCGGTTGTGCTTCAAAGGATCATGTGCTACACAAAAGACTCTCTGGTGTGTTGATATTTCTGCTTTTTGTTAAATCTCAGAGACATCTTTTCCTCTGAGAACATTTTGTCCGACATGTTTTGTGCTGCAAGAGCTGCAGAAGCTTTCCACATTTTTTTTCCTACCAAATCATAACTGCCATTTTAAAAGTCACGAAAACTATATAAAAGCAAATCCACATTTTGATTAACAGAATGTAATTTCTAACAGTAGGGCAGGTTGCAGTCAGAAATCTTGAAGTATCACATACATTTTTTGATGCATACTCATAACTGGAGGTCTGTTGGTGTTAAGCTGCGTAAGGCGTATGATTTATTCAGCAACCTTCTCCCACCGAGCCACTGCGGGTGTTATGACTCGTGTGTCTACCTGAGGACATTTATCTAGCATTAAACGGACCGCATGTCTTCCCGCCGGTGTCTCTAACAACAGCGTGCGCTTTACTTCAAAGAGGCAGAGCGAACTGCAGAGGGGAGAGCACTTTGAAGCCGGTTCAGAGTGTCAACATCTTAAATCATTCAAACAGCTCAGAGACAAAATGGCTCCACGGGGAACATCGCACTGATTGAGTGAAAAATATATTCAAGTAAACACAGAATTCTTGAAAAATGAATGTGGTTCTTCACAGGTTTGACGGCCAGAAACCAAACTTTGGACGGCATTTTGGCATTGACGTGCTACGTGCTGCACTCGGTGTAAGTGAAGCCGTTTTTGTTTTCTGTGCTGCAAACACACTTGGAGTATCTGCAGGTGAGGATGGTGACCCGATGAGACAAATCAATGGCTTCTGATCCTTATTAAGTCTCTGCTGTGCCTGTGGGCTCCTGTTTGCCAGAAGGCAAAAGAGACACACACTACTACAGACACTGGTTTTTGCAGCTCTTTTAAGATATACTTGTCATTTTCTAGTTCAGCAAGTTAACTGGAAGGTTTAGTTAAAATACACGCACAGCTATATACCATTTAGGAGGAACTGACAACCTAAAAACCAAACCTCTACAACTAGTCCTACATGAGTAACTACTTTACAAACTACACATATAGCTTCGTATTTAAACAGTACAGCTTCCTGATCAAAACCTCACCATCAAATACATTTTGTACAAAATCAGAAGGCAAAAGAGACACAAACTAATACAGACACTGTTTCTTTTTAAAGAATGGATTGTCCTTTTCTAGTTCTGCAGTTTCACTCAAAAGCTTTAGTTAAAATACATGTACAGTTATATACTGCTTAGTGGGACATGAAAACCTAAAATCCAAACCTTTAAACCATGTCTTCAATGAGTAGAAGAAGTCCTACATGAAAGACCAATTTACAAACTGCCTATATAGTTTCAAATCCGTACAGTACAACTTCCTGATTCACCATGTTACCTTTTATTTAACCATGCAGGTATATTTCTAAATACATTTTGTACAAAATCAAAAGGCGAAAGAGACACTAACCAATATAACAACTGGTTTAAACAACTTAACTGGAAGACTTTGATTAAAATACATGCACAGCTATATACTAAGTTCAGGGGGAAACTGAAAACCTAAAACCCAAACCTCTAAACCATGTCTTCAACTAGAAGACAAGTCCTAGGTGAAAGACTAGTTTACAAACTACATGTAAAGTTTCAAATTCATACAGTACAACTTCCTGATTAACCATTTTCATTTAATCATATAGATATATTTTTTGAATACGGTTTGTGCGAAATCAGAAGGCAAAAGAGACACAAACTAATTACTTTTTTTCAGCACTTTTAAGAATAACTTGTGTTTTTCTTTTTCAGCAACTTAACGGGAACAAATCAATTAAAATATATGCATAACTGTAAACTATTTAAGAGGAACAAAAAACCTAAAACTCAAACCTCTAAACTGTATCTACAACTACTCCTAATTGAAAAATCAATTTACAAACTGCATGTACAGTTTCATATTCAAACAGTACAACTTCCTGATCCAAAATTCAACATTCTAGCTTTTATTTAACCATGCATATATAAATATCAACCACACAAAGTTGTGTCAGTGTTATTTGACTGTATTTTCTAATTTTTGTTTTGTTAAATAGATTTATGCACACAAAGACCTTCATGAACAACTGCTGATCTTGTGTGCTTCGACAACATAAATATATATATATATATTTTTAAGTGAAATGTGGTTCATCCTGTGTTCTTATGCTCCAGACTCATGTGACGCATCTGAGAAAATATCATCACCAAAAAATTACAGTATAAGATTACATATGTTTGAATTTGTTATATGTTGGCTCATATACTTCAGATAAAATTTGATTTAAATTTGATACGCAGCTCATTTCTTTTTTACGTCCTAACACTGAGAGGAAAAATCAGCAATGAAGTCTCAAAATAAATTGGAGTGAAGCTGATCCTCTACAAAAAGAGACATGACTTGATGCTACTGAGTACATTCAGTCATTGGGAAAACCGGCTTATCTACTGAGAGTTAAAGGTAATATTTCTACCTGAGATCCTTTTTTTCCTGCTTCCAACACATCCATGTAATTCACCTCAACTGTCAGTAGTTTTAATGTTGCAGCAAAACAGCGTGACACCTTCATACATATAAAGATGACTTACTGAGTATGTTGGCCGTATTTTCCGTCGTGATCTCTATCTCCGGCTCGGTGAAATACTCTGACGCCACACATCTGCCCTTCTCAGGTCCTGTGGAAGGAAGAAAAATGAAGAGAAGGAGTGGTAAGTGGGTGGCTGAGCAGGCCTTATTGGGGTCTTTTTCGGGTCACAAACAATATGGAATTATTTGCATATAAAAATAAAACCAGGATAAAAAAACAAAGCAAAAATAAATAAATAAAAGAGGTTAAAGGACACAGACAAAGGCCAGACAGTGAGACATTCTAAAGAGATTTAGAAAGGACGAATGAAGGGAGAGGTGAAAGAGAAGACCCCAAAAGAGATGTGCGGGGAGGACAAAAAAAAATCAGGGGAGGCAGGGAATGGAAGTGAGAGGAAAAAGTGAATTAGAAGCAGAGACAGATGGAGGTCAGGAGGTTCGGGAGAAAACAAGGTCTGAGTTGAGAGAGAGAGAGAGGAGAGCTGAATACAGACGACGATTGACCTCAAACTGTAGGAAGAGAACACACACACACACACACACAATACACAATACAGACATCTGTACAGACACAAAAATATGCCAACAAAAATGATGCATGCATGCGCAGACAAATGTGATATCTCTCCTCCCTCTTGCAGCCGCGCACACTTGGCCGATCCAAATGCCACCAGCGTTTTCCTCCTCTGACCTTTTGTACCAGGCGTCAGACAACAGGGAAACACAAACATGGCCACCTCCCCAGAGCAACACCATGATGACCCGAAACACAGAGACAGCTACTGCAATAAGGACAGTTATTTGTGTCCACCCCGCTGTTGTTTGCGCGTCTAAGAAAGAAAACACATTTCATTTTTTTTTTTTCCCTTTTGGCTTCGACACAGTTGCCTATGAAAGCAAAGTTCTACCAGATGGGACAAAACTCTTCACCAACTCTTATTACATCTCGTCTGTGTATCGGAAAGGTCAGACGCTCATCGCCTTGAGAATCGTGAGCAGAAATTTACGGGGGGATCCCATAACGCCAAAGATGGTGGTTGTATGGCACGCCCCTCAACAAAAAAAAGCCAGTCATCTGCTTTATAAGAGCCAAACCAGGACACAACTGGTGAGGCAATATATATATATGCCAAAACCCGTCAACAGGTTTGAGGCATGTTATTTTTTTTTAAATCACCAAAATGATGCCAGTTATTAACCAGAACTTAAACGTATGACTTTAAACTGTCCTATTGTCATTGAACTACTCACCTGTGGCGTTCCATTCTGGAAGAAAACTTAATCAAGTCTAGGCTTAAATTTGTGATACTTCATCACATATTTAGTTCTACATGTCTCTCTGTTTTTTTTTTTAAGTGTCAAATACAAACTATTTCTGCAGGAAACAAACAAAATCTGCACTCCTTTGCACAATAGTGAAGCCATTAGTGACTCGACTTCAACCAACAGTCATAAGACAAAAATTCATGGGCTTTTCAGGTGAGACAACAAATCAAAAACTTAAGTGCTTAAATACCTACAGTATGTAGAGCCACCACTATTTGTCACACTTGTGGGCACTTGGAAAAATGTACATGTTGATTACAGTTTTGTTTTGGGTTTTTTTTTTTGTTCTTTTTTTTTTTGCTCAAATAAAGAATCCGACAAATTCAACAATTTTCTTTCCTCTTGATTTCTGTCATAACTGTGTCAATAAAATAAGTTCTCTCTACTTCTAGTCATGGTTGTGCTATTTCCATAGGAAGTGCAGGAGTAAAAAAAAAAAATAGGCCCGCAGAGAATAAAAATGAGGCAGGAGTAGAAAATGCCCAGAAACTACTTGGGATTCAAAGGGTTAAACCTTATTTTGGGAAAAAGTCTCCAATCTTTTCAAATGGCTTTCATCAGATTTGACTGGTAGTTTGAAGTCCTGGTGAGTTTTGAAGTGAAGGTTAGGCACAAGTTCAGGAAGATCTGTTTGCTCACATTCTGTCTCAGTTCGTCTTGGTGAATTTGGATTTTCCCTGCTACTCTGCTTCTTTTTGTCACTTCTGTTTTCGCACGCCGTCAGAATCACTTCACGCTCAATCTCAATGATGGAGCAATGATCTATCAGCCTGCGCTCTCCGAGCCAATCAGCCCCTAAACCCGGTTCTTCAGATTCATTGCAAGTCTGTCACTCTTCCTTCCACACCACTGATTGTACATCCCTGCTTCTTATCCTGCTCCATCTCCACCTCTTTCCAGTTTTTCAGGGCATCTCAGCCAGTCTCCATCACGTTACTCCATCACCACCGTAGCCTAGACTTCGGAGGGTCGTCCTCATCTCCTGCCTTCCCCTCAGACTATAATGACGCTTCTGCCGAAATACCTTGATCGAGCAATACACTTTGTCTTGCGAATTCATATAATCTCTCTCGATTGAAATTACATGTATAGCTCTCTAACCATTCACTTCAAAAAAATCTAACCTGAGACTGGAGGTGTTACCAAGAAGCACAGCTGAGTGTTGAGACTTGCTATCAAGACTTTTATACATTCAAGTAAAGGCGCTTTAAAAAAGTTACATTTAAACATAATCTTTAGTTACAAATCATGTACCAGGGTGAAGTCTAAGGGCTATAATTCTGATCTAATGCCTTATATGTCCTCTGTGCAGGTCTATTTCTGGCTGTGGAGCTGATCTGCCATTACTAGTGTTTATTATTTCACCCTGACCCCAACCAGTGGAGGCAGATGTCTCCCTCCCTGAGCCTGGTCCTGCTGGAGATCTACTCCTGGTAAAAGTGACTTTTTCCTTCCTACTTTCACCGATATGCTGATCACAGGGAATCTTTGCATTCATTGGGTTTGCCATGTATAACTCTGTTAGGTGTTAACCCTAAGTAGTCGTCCAAATTAGTCAGGTCATTTCTTAGACTAAGATTATTTTTATTTTTGTACTGGAAAGAGCTTCGGCTCACGACAGCTGTTATTTACAATGTTTGATGTAAAAATTGGTGACTTGGTTTTCACTTGGGCTGCAAGGTGGCGCAGTTGGTAGCACTGTTGCCTCGCAGCTAGAAGGTCGGCTGTTTGCGTCCCGGTGGGGGCACCGGGATCTTTCTGCGTGGAGTTTGCATGTTCTCCCCGTGCAGCGTGGGTTCTCTCCGGGTTCTCCGACTTCCTCCCACACAGTCCAAAAACATGTTGAGGTTAATTGGTGATTCTAAATTGTCCGTAGGTGTGAATGTGAGTGTGCTTGGTTGTCTGTCTCTAAGTGCAGCCCTGTGATAGACTGGCGACCTGTCCAGGGTGTCCCCTGCCTTCGCCCTGAGTCAGCTGGGATAGACTCCAGCCCCCCCATGGCCCTCGTGAGGATTAAGCGGTGTATAGATGATGGGTGGATGGCTGGCTTTTACTTTCAGAGCACTTTGTTCACCCTTGTTTTTAAATGTACTATAGGAATACAGATATTATTTTTACTAACATCAAATACAATTCAAAATGTGCTGCTGAAAACTGACAATGTGTCATCCTGCACACTGGTGCTCTAATTCCAGGAGTCCCCTGGCAGAAAGTGGATCACATCGGTTCCAGTCAGTCTCTGGTACCTTCATAAATTCAGAACGCAACCCGTCCTTCTAAAGGAAAATGTGCACGTGTCCTGTTGATATCATTAGCAGCAGTCTTGCACTGTTTCAGCCAACAGAAAGTGACACAGCAAAATTTATTTGCACTGACTCACACAGCAGGCGGGGAAAATCTGTTTTTAGGCTCGTCTGTGTCCTCTAAAGGTGCCTCAAAATGAGTAAACAGATCAACAGGTAATTACAAAATAAACAAGTAAACAAGTGCACTCTGGCAAAAATAAAAAAAATCACAATTTGTTACCTCTTCGGTGGGTGGGTGTAGCGGCTGCTTGTGCTCTTGCTTGCAAATTGGAAAGCAAGTTCCAGTGTAAAATTGGACTGTTCAACAAATATTTCATATTATCACCTCATATGTTCCACTCTAATCCAGACTGAGAGACAATCTGGTGTCTCAAAGTGTGTCAAATCTCAGTATGGATTTAGCCTCTGGGCGTGATTTCACTGATCTCACTCCTTCAGTTGAAATGAACTAATTAAATGGTTAATAAGAGGCGGAAAAAGTCTGATTTGTGTGTAAAAACAGCTCCTGCTTCCCTTTGAGCTGCAGCTAAAATCACAGTAAAGGCAGGTTTCTGAAGGTCCTTAGATTGTAGTGATATCATCTACGGACATGCTGCTTGCTTTTTCTCTCAAACCACCAGACTCGGTTTATCGTTCTGGATTCATTAGTGGAGATCCCTGCTATTCACAACTGCAAGAAGCATGTTGTGTCTTTTCATTCACAAATCTAATATTTTCACTCGATATAGCATCTGCGCTCTATCAGACCCGCTGCACTGACGGATGCATCAAGCTTTATTCTAAACTTAGAAAACAGGCCTTTAGGGTCATTCCATCGTAAATATAACATTTTTAGAACAATTTTTGCCCAACTATTTCTGATTTGCTTGAATTTGTTTATTTATTTTTATCATAAACTACAGAAATGTCTAAAGATATTTAAGAAATTGTAGCGCAACACATCCTTTACTTTCCAAGCTATTTCTTTTCAAAGGTGAGTTTAAAAATTCAAACATAGCCCCAAATTTGAATGTTGAAAAAAAAAAACATGCTGAAAACAAAACAAAAAAACATTTACGTTGGAAAAATGTTGTATTTCAAGCTAGCAATTTTTAAATTTCTGAAATTTTTGAGATGGAATCACTCTTTAGTTTTTGTGCACCAAACACCTGGAATTGTCCACAACACATCCTCAGGATCGACACCACTAATAACTCGATGAGACAAAGATTTCAAACTGCTTCCCCTCAGTGTGAATTTGTTTTCACTGGATTTTAGCCTCTTTGGAATTTTTCTACCTCTAAGTATTATCTGTATCCCAACATCACTACAAACAGGGGAAACCTTGAGGATTTTCAAGGCTTAAATCAATGTCTGGTTCCACTATCTTCAGTCATACTTCCACCTGTTTTATCACTGCAGGGGTGGTAAAGATCCACACTTTGACAAAAAAGACTTATGATCATGTAAAATAGTGGGAACGTCACAGTTGAACAAACAAATCTCGTGTAAAAAACGGTCTTGTGTCAGCCTGTGGTAGTGTTTTTGTTAATATCAAATTAGCTACTCTAATCTAACCCAGAAAACCTAAATAAGCAGAGACTGAAAAGCAAAAAGCCACTACAAGCAACCTGACATAAACTGAATGGTCTGAAATTGTGGCTGACCTGCCACGAAGCAGACCCTCCAGAGGCCGGAGTGCAGCGCCATCTTGACCTCGGTGGTCTGGTTCTGCTGCAGGACGATTCCTTCCTCCATCAGCAGCCAGTAGTCGGTCGACACGGCGACGCCCACCAGCAGCAAACCGCAGGCTCCGAACACCGACGAGAGCAGAGTCAGAGCCCTCGTGCTGAACGAACTCATCTGAGGAGGGAGAAAGAAATAATCATTTCACCTATGTTGGTCTGCACGCAGCAGAGGGGGAGAAAACACTGGATTTGGATCATGTTAAGGAATCAAATAGGGGAGGAAAAATGGACAAAGAAAAGAGGAAGTGACAAGAGGGCAGAAGGGAATTGATTTAACTTATCCATTTTTTTTTTTTTTTTAGATTTTAAAATATGCAGAAACAGCAAAGGACGAGGAATCACTGCTTTTAATCTCTCTTGACTTTCACTGACATGAGCTGTTAAATATGTATGCACGTATGAAGAAGAGGAAAAAGAGAGGCGAGGAAGTGAACAACCGTCAAAGAGCTGGTTTCTGGCAGAAAATAACTACATTACAGTGTCATCACAGCAAATCACCATTTTATTCAAAGCACTGAACAGCTCTTCACTGCAGACTTCAGGTTTGAAGACGTTTCTTTGCGTGTCGCGGGACCGCGTGAGTGCTTTTGCAAAACGCATATAGTGCCAGTGAAATCCAAGGACACGACGGGGGGATTTCACTCAGAAAACAGGAAGTAACAACAAAGTCGAGAAAAAGGTCAGAAGGCAGCGCAGTGCCCAGAAAAATGATTCACGTCGCCTCGGAAGTTTCCCATTTTATTGCTTTTGAACACTGACTCAGTCAATTTAACTTGACTTTTACAAAAAAAAAACAAAAAAAACCTCATGTCAAAGTGAAAACACATTTTTGCAAAGTACGAATTAAAAATTAAGTAAAATAAGCAACTACACAAGTATTTGCCATCGTATAAAGAGTTATTTTTGATATTTTTACTCTTACTTTGTAGAAATGTGTTTTCACTTTGAACATTTTTTCAAGAGTATTGCATGTTTTCACTGTCAAAGGTGCTATATAAATGAAGTTATGAACCTTTTTTCGTAAATTCTCTTTAAAAATTGACAATAGCTCAATGTTGAAAAGCAACTAAAGGCCTTTCCTGTATTTATTTTATTTTATTTCGAGGAGCCTTTTTACAGGTGCTCTAAGTAAGATGCTGAATGAAGGGATTCGAGAACAGCGTTAAAAGTTCAGGAGGTCAAGAATTAAGTGGAAAGTCCTCAAATACAAATGAAAGGCAGAGAAGTACGGTCACAAGTGAACATAAAGGATGCACAAAAGGAACAAGAGGAAGAACTCTATTAGATGATCAACCACCCTGCTGAAACATAATGCAGTTTCCTTACAACAGATTGAGGTTTTTAACACAAAGGATGAAGCCTTCAAGAATGAAATTTGGAAAAATGCACTCATTTTTATCTAGATAGCACGTTTCAAACAACCTGAGTCGACCAACATGCTGAACATGTTAACAGTGAGAAAGCTACAAAAATAAGCGCAAAAAATCAATCAGCTTGTAAAAGAGAGTCAAATCGTGTAAAATGTACAAACCAGGATATACAGGGTGACAAATTATAAAAAGAGAAAAAGGAAAACAGTGAGTTCAACAACAAATGTGAACATACTAATGGCACATAATGTACTTTAAGCCTGCAGTGAATGGACTCGCTCAATATGACTCAAAGAGTTTCCTTCTGGGAGTCACAGGTAGAGTTCAGGGTTTCTTCATGCAGGCGCTGATCAATAATGTATCAGAATCCTTGAAAATGAGGAGCTTGTTCACAGTGTAGAAAACAAGAAAAAAAAAGAACTGTGCCATCACATTAAAAAAATGTGAAACTGTGCTGTTTGGAGCGCTTTGGCAAATGGCACGAGGTAATGTTGAGTATACGGAGCTTTCTCTAAAAGGGCAGCACGATCGATAAATCTTTAAACCTCTAAGTTAGTTGCGGTTCCATACATGATGCCGATGTCGAGGACATGACTGAAATAATGAGCTTCTCCTGGAGCTGATCCGCTGAGGTTGGCTTGTCAGGCTTCCAGGTAACCTGCAGTGCAGTTTGACACTCACTAGGTGGCAGAAACGCTGCCTCTGCCATGCATCACTTCAACTGTTGACACACTGAGAAACATCCTCTTTACACACACACACACACACACACAGCAGAGCCTCATCCATCCAGTCAAAATGGAGGTCACATTCAGCGTGCTGTGGGTGTAGCAGGCGTGAAGCATCATGCTGTAATACACCAGCTAAACAGGACGTGGACCCTGAGAAACGGGTTTCCCCCTGAATCCAAACCCTCTTCCCCACCCCCACACCATCATTTTTGCACATTACTGTCTGACTTTTTGTCTCCATCTGAGCTACTTTTGAGCACTACTTCGCAGAAACAGCCTGCTCGTCTCTAAGCCTGTATAAAATGATAATAACTGACAGGACACCTGCAGCTCAAATCACCTGCAGCGGTGCACAACGCAAACTGCATAAAGCCGATAAAACGTGGCTTCATGTGCATTTATGAAATTGTATGCAGTGCTGTCAATAAATGATACATAAAATACTGATGCATTTACAGTTTGAGCTGCTGAAGCTCTACTTTTAGCAAAACACAACAAAAGGACGCCAAAATATGTCAATAAGATGAACGCTATGTGTGAGTACATACAATAACTAACAATAATCTATTATAAGTAAACATTTGATATTAAACTCATAGCTGATAATACAAAACAGCATGAAAATGATACTTCATGCCCATTTTTTTTAAAGGTTCTAGCAGGGGTTTTTTTTTTGCATGACTTCAAGGTTTGTAAAGACTTTAAAATGAAATATTAAGATATATTTTAAAACTTCTTTTTGCCTTTGTTTACATTGAAATGATTTCAAATAGTCTTGCTGTAAATATCGTTCTGATCTGTTGTCAACTGGAATCGTCAACAGAAACATTGTATTTGTTAAAACAGTAAGAAATTATAACAGACAAGCTACAGAAGTGTGTTTTTGTAACACTTTGGCCTACTATTATTGATTACTATTATTATCATTACTATTATTATAATTACTATTCAGGGGAAATTCATTTTTGAATTAAATATTTAAAAATCAGTTATTTGAATTGTATTAAATAACTATTATTATCATGATTATCCTCACCATTATTACTATTAATGCTAATAATTACTATTATTATTGTTATTATCATTATTACTATTTTTATTATATGACTATTATAACTAGTAGAACTATTATTGTTATTATCATTGTCATCATGTAACTTCAGTTGCAAATTTATGTTTGGACTTCATTCAACAGAACTCAAAAAAGAACCCTGAAAAGTTCTGCAGTTCATCTGACCATTATAAAAACATGCACATCCTTCTGATCATAAGTTTTCACTGCGGTCATAAGAATTCTCCCCTTTCACAGCAATTAACGTTTCATTAAACATATAAAGCACAGGCATTTTTATTTATTTATTTATTTATTTTTTACATCATCCAGTTCAGGAGGGATATTTACAGCCAAACCGAATATTTTTCACATCGCCACAAATAAACGACATTCAAAGCCGGGTGTTACAGGAGGGTTCACTGACTCTTAAAATGTTGTTTACGAGGGGGAGGCTGAGAAAGAGAGAAGCCGATAAGAGACCAGGCGAGAACAAAATGAACTCGGCGAGACAAGATCAGAAGCGAACAGATAAGAAGCGAAAAGAAAGTCGCTGTCAGGCAGGAAGGGAGCGAGGCGTGACCTCATCACTCAAGTAAGACGCTGCAGAGCACATTCAGCAGTGTCAGAGAGGATTCGCTCACTCAGACGTGAGTCACCCGTTACAAATATTTTATATAGTAAAACATCCCTCAACAGAAATCCCCCCGCAGAGATTAAAGCAGACGCACAGGTACGCGGCGGTGAAACTGCTCGTGTGTGAGCAGACAAGCAAAAACATTCACTGCGAACTTCAACTTTCTCAGTTTCATAAGAAATAGTTGCTGGTAAGACCTCGACCATGGACCAGTCTCAGAAACTTGTGGATAAGTCATGAATTTTTTAAATTTCTAAGAAGGGAATGTATGTATTTGAGCTTGGAGCCAGACGGTGCAACTTGTGTTATTTTTCAGGCAACATATAAATTTTAAAACAGGACTCGATCCGCCGAAAATATAAATATAGAAAAAGTGCATGCAGTCAGATTTCTGCACCTTGCTGTAAAAGTGTAAACAGACAGACAGAGAGAGAGAGAGAGAGGTGACTTTCTGCACATCCAAACAAGACGTCCGACGCTTTCGCAGACGAAAGTCACGTCCTCTGAATAAGACAGAGGTTGATTTGTTGCTCGGCTCGTGCAAATAGGCATCAGTCTTAGCGGTGGAAATGTCAGGCTCAGCGCGAGAGGCAGTCAGGCATTCAGAGGCGCTCAGTCAAAACACACAAATCCATCCTCCACTTAGAACGCCAGAGACAGAGTCGAGTACCTGCAGGACTCAGATAACTGTCTCAGCCTGTGGGCTTTCACACCGCTTCATTCAGACTTTGGCACATTCTGGTGACTGAAACACACAAAGTATAACGACTTTCAGACTTCGGGAACAAGGCGACGGATGACGACAGCTGGTAAATATTGGTCTAAAAGTCTGGACGTGTAACTACTGCAGTTCTCTGAGATGTCGCCTTATTAAGACAGAGCTAACTGGAGAGAAACAGAAAGATTGTAATGTTTTTTTTGTTTGTTTTGAACAGTTTTTTGTGCATTTGTTTTACCATAAACCAGTGTTTGCTAAGCCTTAGTGAATGGACACCAGCTAATCTTTCCACTAAGTGTTCTTAACAGAAGTTTGAAGAAAGTCTGCAGAACATTGTGCAAGCAACACGCTTCACTGTAGCCCTAGTTTGTGCACACGCTGTCCTTTCTATGATACCAGATTAATAAAACGGTTTTTAAATACATACACAACCAGGGTTCCTCATGCATCTTCCAGCAAAATGCAGCTGATTTGACACTGTTGTGTCTCCATTTGAGCCAAAGCAAACAAAGACAAGAGGCAAACAACTCTAGCCACTCTGAACCTGGTGTGCAACTCTCATTGGATAGTTGGCTGAACAGGGTTTCAAATCTATTGGATGATAAGTC